AAGATCTTTTCCCCTCCTTGGGAAGTTTTCTGCCATCACTTCTGTGAAGAGTTTTTTTATGTCATCTGCACTCTCTCCTGTTTCTTCATTGACTCCAATGAGTCTTATGCTATTCTTCTTTGCATTGTCTAGCAGCTGCTGGATTGATTTCTCTTGGTCCCTTACAATTTTTCTTTTCCTGGTCACTGATTGCAATCTTATCTTCTATATCTGAAATTCTGTCCTAACATTGGCTCATTCTGCTGTGTAGACTTTCAATGGAGTTTTTAATCTCCTGGAAATCTGGTGACATCTGTTTTATGGATTCCATTTGTTTCCTATGTTGAGATTCCATCATGTCCCTCCGCTCTTCTCTAGATTTATTAATCATGTCTTGCACCATGAGCACAATCTCTGCTGTTATCTGAGAAATTATTTCTGATTTCATTTTTTCCGGATCCTGTTTTGTTGCCAGTTCAGGGAGTCCAGGTGGTTGAGTATCAGAGTGTTCCATCGCCTTTCCCATTGGGGTTGCTATAGGTGATCTGAAAGTCTGGTTTTGAGTCTTATTTACATGTCTTCTCATTTCGATGGGGGGTGAGGGGTTTGCTCCTGATGCCTGCATGGCTCGCCTTGTCTGTGCTGGCGGAGGTCTGTTGAAATCATTTTATAGATGGCTTAAAAGGCTGGTGTTCATGTTTGAGAGAATATTTCTGTAGGCAGGAGGATGAATGCAAATGGGTGGAAATGTATTTAGAGATTGAGGGAGGCTGTGAGGTTGCTGAGCCCACTAATGTTTGTTGATTTTGTTTGGATTCTTTAAGCTCAAATTTTGTTAACAGTTACCCTGACATATCCTTAAATGGTACTGTTTAATGTATAGTACTAGTTACTTATTATGCATATAATAATGCACATATTTATGCATATCTCTAATGCATGCCTTTATATTTATGTTATTGGATAGGTGAAGATGAGGTGGGACAAAGACACTAGATAATGAAGAATAGAGGAGCACAAAGAATATGCAGGGAAGAGACTCATAAGATATGAGGGCAGAAACATGTTTTTAAAAGAGGGAGCAAGTGAAAGGGGAAACTCTTGAAACTTAAAGTATAATAATCAACCAAAATCAATAAAGAATAACCAAAAGAAAGAAGAAAGAAAAAATGAAAACAGACAATAGAAAGAAAGGAAAAAGGACCCAACCAGGATGACCCCCATCCAATAGAGTATTAATGTTATAACAACTGCAAGTGCTTCTACAGCTTTCTCTACGCTGGCAGCACTCTCTGGTCTTGAGTAACCACATAGTTTCCCTCTGTTGGTCAGACTATTGCCTGTCTAAAACCTTGAGTACTGTTTTTCCCTCCTAATACATGCCCTCTCTTTTAGCTCTGGGCTGCTCCCATGCAGACTTCCATGGATCTGATTACCTTAATAGAATTCAGAGGACAAATATTATGGATGTCTCCATGTCTTCCCTCTCCAGATTTTCTTTGCCTGTTATATGGCCAGAAACCCACTGGCTCAGGTGCCATTCATGCCTCTCTTATTGCAGATATCTGCTTCACCTCTGTCTACAAAAATAGTAGGAGGGAACTAGCTCTCTTTGGCTCAAGTCATTCTCTGGCTCTCCTCCTTGCTGGGAGCCTACTGGCAGTTGTAGGTAGTGTGTTGACTGTTTTACATACAGTACTCTCATTGTATGTGGGAGTAATAGGTGGATGATGATGATGATGATGATGATGATGATGATGATGATGATGATGATGATGATGATGATGGTTGGGGAAACCTTTTCTCTTCCTGGTGTCCCATCACCTGCCAGCCCTGGAAGCAGGTACATGGATCCATGGCAATTAGATTCTACTCTTTTTTTGTTTTGCATCTTTGAATCCCTGGGTTGACATGTGACCAGTGGGGAGGATATTGTGACTGTGGATGTATTCAATCCTCCAGGCTGTCACTGAAGGGTCAGATTTCTCCCTTCCTCAGTCTGATCCTTTCCCAAGGTGTCATGTAAGCTGTGTCTGGGGTGGGCATGGAGTGGGGTACTGTGATTCAGGCATGTTCTCCCCTTTCCCACCCTCTAAACACTGTATTTTAGTCCAGCTGGATTGTGCTTTTAGGTATCCTCCCATATCAGACTTTATCTTTTGCTCCTGCCTCGGGGTAACTGCTTTTCTTCAGCACCAATCTGGAGACACTCACCCTGTCAGTCACCCACAAGTCAGCCATGGTGGACCTTCTCCCTTTTCCATTCTAGGCAGGCCAGGCTAAGAGGGGAAGAGGCCGAGGCAGTGATCCCCACCTCCTCTAAGAACCCACCTGTCTGGCCGACTTCTGATCTTGTCTGCTTTCCTCTAGAGCGTCGGTGTGCCATCTCCAGTATGGGGACATCTCTTGCATGGTCACATCTTGTACACTCACATTTATACCTGAGTCGTGGGTACACCTGGTATATGTTGCCCTCTGTTACCTCTGTTTTACCCCTGGGATTACATAAACATAATCACATCTGGCACTCAGGGATGGCCAAGCACATGTGGGGGATTTTGGTGTCTGACTTTTCCTTGTATGAGTTGTTGTTAGAGATTATCTTTTTCTGGGGCTGATTATGTGTGGGCCATGGTTGGGGCTGGTCTGAGACCAGGACCCAGGGTGCCTCTGAAAAATGACCAAGACCTTATTTCCCTCTTGTCTAAGGCAAGTATAAGGTGCCTCCAGGCTGCACCTGGGGCCCAGGTGGGTTATGTCTGGAATATTAATTGGACTATATTTAAATACTGTCTATGAACTGTCTGTGGGCCTCACTGAGACCATCTCAGACCTCCACTGCTGGATATCAGAGCATATTGTGTTGTGTCAGGATTGTCATATATGTTGAGATCATGTCAGGACATGTTAACACAGGAGTCTGTGTCACACGTCCCCAGTCTATGTCAGGAGATGCCAGAGGGTACAAGGGAGAACAGCATGTCCTAAGTTTGTATAAAGATCTCTTTAGAGTGTTTTTCTGTGCATGGGCTTGGCAGAACTGTTGGACCATGTAGAAGCCATGCCAAAGTGGGGTGGGGCTTGTTGTCCTGTATTAGGCTATACCTGTGCTCTAATCTGCTGATGCTGCCTCTTCTGCACTCCCACATCCTGCTTTCTGTCTCTGGCTTCCATTCTCCATGTCAGGATTGGAGGGGAGAAATATAGACCCCTGACTGAGACCCTCCTCCTCCCCCCAAAATCCATCCTCTCCCTTTCTTAATGGTCCCCATTTGTTCTTCATTTTAGTTCAGGTTGCAGTCAAAGATGTCTTCTTTTACGGCTTCCTGAAACCCTGGCTGGGTGAGTGTCTGCAGGTGAAGGGGCTTGGGGACAACCTGGGGGCCAAGGGAAGGTGCTGCCTTTGCCCATTGCCCATGGTTGCCCCACCAGGGGATGGGCTGTTGCTGAGTGCTGGTGACAAGTGGAGCCAGCGCCGTCACATGCTGACACCCGCCTTCCATTTCAACATCCTGAAGCCCTATCTGAAGATTTTCACTGACAGCACAAAAGTAATGCATGTGAGTCCTTGAGTTCAGGGTTCCAAGTGGAGTCTGGAGGGAGAAAGAACCACAGATAGATCAGGTCTACAGTCCTGTCTCTGAAGGGTTGCTTTGAGGCCATTGCTGTTTCTCTCTCAGCCCTTAGTTTCTTCATCTGTAAAATGAGGATAAAAATCTCTAAAGGTGGCCCAGAAGATGTAATGGAGTCATGTCTGTAGCACAAAGTGGGTGTTCAGAATGGACAGGTTCCACGTTTCTCACACAAAAGTCCGGTAAATTGCACACAGGAAGGATGAAGATTGCATAGAAGATATTGCTGAATATTAAGCCATTTCCAAACTCATTGGTGTACAGCAATAAGTGTTCATGATAGATGTGTTAGGTCAGGAGGCTGGTTCTTCTGATCAGGGGTGAGTGCACAGTGTATGATCAGCTGCAGGCCAGATAGGGAGCTTTTTTGATCTTGGCTCAGTTCTCACCCATGTTTGGCACTTGACCAACTTCAGGCTGATTCAGAATATCCTCAGCTGGACATCTAGACTCCGATCCATGCGATTCTTATTGGAGTTATGACCTCATTTTCACCACCTTCTGTTGGCCAAAGTCAGGAGTCTAGCAGAGAATCAAAAACAAGTGAAATAAGCTCTACCTCTTAATGGAAGTTGCTGAAAAACACATCGCACAGGATATAAATAAAGGAAGAAGGTAAAAACTGAGGGGAGAATTTTGTCAAGGGCTTAGCATGTTTTCCTCACTTGCATGATTTTAAGTTTGCTGTTTAGTGTTTTGTGTAATCTGCAAGAAAACATGAGATTCCTGGGTCAGAGACAAATTTTTTTACCATGGCACAGGAAGCAGTGTGTGCTTCTTGTTGGGTTTCTTCTTTTCTCCAAGCCACCCAAATCTCACAGGGATCACACAGGTGAGCCCCAACTGGTGCTGCTTATGTATATATCACATTACAATGGAAGAGCCTTAGTCTCCTGCTATTATAGCAAACACAAACACGCCTGATATTTGTCTCATTGAAGTCATTCCCTCATTCACAGATATTCTTCTCTGCCATTACAACTCTGAGAAATGTTAAGAACACCAGGGGAGTACATCTTTGTCACAGACAGCAAAGAAGTGCAGTGACAATCTCTCAAAATAAGGCTATTTCTCTGAGTTATCACAAAGAACACAAAGATATTTGGCACTTACCGAGTAGTCCACATATGTTAAAAATAATGTTCTATGCCAATTCCCTAATACATGCTGTCCAGTTTGATTCTCACCAATGTTGAGGTAGAGGTTATTTTTTCCCATCACAGATGGAAAGCCTGGACATCCCAGAGATTAGGGAGTGTCTTAGTTACTTTTTCTCACCACTGAGACAAAATACCTGATAGCCAGTGTTAAATGAGGAAAGGTTTATTTCAACTCACAGTTTGTAGAGATTTCAGTCTATAGTCGGCTGTCTCCAAGGAAGGGTGGCATGGCGGAGGGGCATTGCAGGTGAGAAATAGTACATGGCAAGCAGGGGGAGACAGCAAAGCAGAAAGCAGCAGCAGCAGCAGCAACAGAAGCCTTCTTTCTGTCCCTTTATATCCCATCCAAGCTACCTGCCTTTTAGGTGATACCACTCACATCCAGGGTGGGGCACCCTTAATCCCAGCATCACACATCCTAGATCTAACCACCTCCAAAAAGCCCTACCTATGACTGCATGAGGCTTTGGATAGACATCTAGACCCAAGTCATAACAGGGAGCTTATAAAATTTGTCCAGCTAGTAAGTGAGTTAATAGCTGTAGAGCGGATAGTCTATCCTATATTATTGAAACCAATGCAGGTCAACTAAACCAGAGCAAGATTTGACAGGTGGACTGAGGGAATGGAAATGAGTTGACCAAGGGAGCACAGAGTGTAGAAGCCTGATGTGGGACCTGAACTTAGGGCTCCCAACTCCCAGTCTTGAGTCTTCATCTCCTAGTAGTAATAATTTCTGTTCACACCCAAGCATGGTCTTCCCTGGGGCAGAGGACCAGCAGGCTGGTTTGAGAATCTAAAGCAGTGGTTGGGGGTGGGGATGGGTTTAAAGGAGCCAAAGCTTAGTGGCATCCCTGTCCTCCTCTCTGGTTAGGCCAAGTGGCAGCGCCTGATCTCCCAGGGCAGCACCCATCTGGACATGTTTGAACACATCAGCCTGATGACCTTGGACAGTCTGCAGAAATGCGTGTTCAGCTTTGAGAGCAACTGTCAGGAGTGAGTCCTTTCCCTGGGCTGGGAAGCTAAGCCTTGGAGCCAAGGGAGGAGGTGGGGAGGGAGCCCTGACCAGAGGAATTGGAAGATCCTTGTTGGAGGAGATATGTCAGACCTGGGCATTGACTAAGGAAGGCAAGAAAGAGAGAGAGTGGTCCTTCTATGTAAATGGAATCATTTGAATAATGCCAAAGGTATTCAAATGAGCAAAGTATGTGGAAAGAGGTGCATAGTGCAGGAGGCATCTTGGAAGTGATGTTTGAGAGGCAGGTTGTATCTAGATCATAAGGACGTTGAAAAGCCTACCAAAGGGGTATGAACCTTCTCCTGATATTTCTTGGGAACCACTGAAGATGTTAAGCTTGTGTTAGAATTGTGATACTATGACTAAATGCCCCCAAATAGTCAACTTACATTAAGGAAAGGCCTATTTTGGATCACAGTTTCAAAGGCTTTGGTCAATGATTAATTGAGTCTTGCCTTTGAATAGTTTTGAAGCAGTACATCATGGTGGGAGTGTGTGTTCCAGAAGACTGTTCACCTCATAGGAGTTCAGAGTAGAGAGAGATAAGTGGTGGGCTCCCAATATTCCCCAAAGGGCAGACCTTTGATTATCTAACTTCCCTCTATTTTACCTCACCTTGAGTTCGATCCCCAGTACCAAAAAAAAAATTTACCTCACCTTCCAGAGGTCCCACCACGTCCTCATAGCACCACAGACTGGTGGCCAATCTTTGGAGATACGTTCCTTCTGAGGACACTTCCTAATAATATAATAGCAAACATGATGATGGGCATGATCAGATCTGAGCTCTGTGGAATATGATTGACATGTAAATACTGGATGGAGTTGGCACAGAATTCAAGGAGACTGTGGACTTGTTAGACCATGGACCAGATAGAAGAGAATGAAGTGTGAGATTTGTGGAGAGAGTCAGGAAGGAGAAGGAACAGGGCTGGAAACTGGGTCAAAGAGAAAGAGAGGAACAATATCCACACTATTTTCTTGGTGACTAGGAGACAGAGGCAACTCAGAGATGGGGTGTAACCAAGGAAGAGATTGTGGAGGGTCGAGTCACAGCTCATGTATCCATGAGGCCACCTGCCTCAGGAGCCTCAATTTCCTGACAAGACATACCTACTGACTACTAGTGGGGAGTAGTGCTCAGCTTTCAGTGACATGAAGATTTTGCCTTCCTTTATGCCCCTGTCCTGCAGGAAGCCCAGTGAATACATTGCTGCCATCTTGGAGCTCAGTGCCCTTGTGGCAAAAAGGGTTGATCAGATTCTTCTGCACAAGGACTTCCTGTACTATCTCACCCACGATGGTCAGAAATTCTGTAAGGCCTGTCGCCTGGTGCATGATTTCACAGATTCTGTCATTCAGGAGCGGCGTCACACCCTGCTCAGTCAGGGAATTGATGACTTCCTAAAGGGCAAGGCCAAATCCAAAGCTTTGGACCTCATTGATGTGCTACTGTTGAGTAAGGTGGGATTATCAAGATGTAGAATGGACCTTGCTGTCAAACAGCAGCTCAAATAATTTGAGCTTTCCCATAAGGCATGGGATTTATGGAAGTTATTTGAGGAGAGACAGGCTAGACATAGAAGTGCTTTAGAGATGATTCTGGAATGCTTGGGGCAGAGATTAAGCCTGAAACTCTGAAGCACTCTAATGATAAGGTAATGTTAGGGTGACACAGTTATATTTTTATTATGACATATTTATCATCTCTATCTGTGTTGACATATGCACCAAACTCTTTGATCAGGCAGCCCATTTATTACTCACAGTGATAACAGCAGCCAGAGCAAGACTCTCGCAATGGCTCCCCTTCCAACTCTCCCTTCCCTAAGTGATGCAGAGCTTTTACCTGTATATACACTGGGTTTACAACCCAGGAAAAGAGTCTGTACATCATGAGTCTTGGAGCATAAATAGGACAGCTGGCATATCTGCCTCTTCTCCTAGGAGATGGAGAGAAAGAGCAACAGGGAGAGGGAGAGGGAGGGGGAAGAAAATTTTATTCTGGAATATAAACAAGTTCTCTTCAGTGCAGAGGAAAAGTCCACAGCTCTGCAGAGCCTCTAGAGAAAAGATTTTCTGCATTTATTACCTGAGAATATGAGCAGATGTCTTTGAAATAATTTTTAATCTCTAACTTCCAACGTAAAATAGCACCCAGTCATCTTGTAACCCAGGTTGCTATTAACCTTATCTCAGAGATCCCTCATCATACAGAAACATGAAATATTAATGGATCATTAATTTTCCAACCAAAACAAAAGAGGAATCAAGGAAGCTGGGGAGGATGTCCGTGTGACAGGGACTCTGGAGGTAGGGATTGATAGCCAGCTTTTCATTGTTGTGACCAAAGAGCTGAGAAAACTCTTTTTGGTCATATTAGGGATTCCTTCCAGGACCTTCACACTGAGCTACATTCACAGCTCTTTTTAATTTTGCAATAGAGACTCAGTAAGTTGCTAAATTGCCCAGGATGAGCTCAGACTTATGATCCTCCTGCCTCATCCTCCCAGACTGCTGGGACTATGGTGCATCACCATGCCCAGCTAAAAAACCCAGCTTATTGGAAGAATGATTTATTTTGGGTCACAGTTTTTCTGCATGGTAAGCTGGCCCTACTACTTGATCTGTGATGAAGTAGAAACATGAAGGCCCAAGGGCATGGTGGAGGAAAGCTCACCTCATGCCAAACAGGGAACAAAGAGAAAAAGATAAAAGCCAGAGATGAAGGGACTGGGAACCAGATATAGTCCCCAAGTTTACGCTCCCATTTGATACTCTCTTGAGTAGATCTTTCCTTTCATTTTCATAACCTCCCAGTAATACCATCCAATTAAGATCTTAAAACTGGATTAATATGGTAATGAAATTTCAGCCCTCTTGAGCAATCACCTTCTGAAAGCTCCATCTCTGAACACATGAGATTGTTCGGGAGTACTTTAGATTAAAACATAACCGTGATTAAGGAAAATCTAGTGGTGTGAGTGGACTTGATGTCTTGATAGGTTTCTCAGAAGCCCTGGGAGATGGTGTGATTCAGAGAGTCTTGCCTTCTCTCCAGGATGAAGATGGAAAGGAGTTGTCAGATGAGGACATACGAGCAGAGGCTGACACCTTCATGTTTGAGGGTGAGAGTTCAGTGCGGGATTCTAGACTGTGCGTGGTCTTTACATCCCAGGAATGTGGTGGGTCCACAGTGGATCTCTCCATTCTACCCATGCTTCACATCCCTCCTTCCTCCCTGGGGTCCCAAAGGGTGAGCGCTGTCCACCCCGTGGTGCTGAAGCAGCCCAGAGACCCAAGCCTCCCTGTCCCTGGCTGTTCTTCAGGTCACGACACCACGGCCAGTGGTCTCTCCTGGGCCCTGTACAACCTGGCCCGGCACCCAGAATACCAGGAGCGCTGCCGGCAGGAGGTGCGAGAGCTTCTGAGGGGCCGTGAGCCTGAAGAGATCGAATGGTGAGTCCGGTCCTCGTGGCCTGTTCCTGAGCCCCCTTTCCCGACGATATTCTCCAGCTGGGGCAGAGAGATTGTATTTTTGATGATTTTTCCCATTATTGTCTGATGAGTATAGGAGCTGAATCCAGAAGCATCCGCTGGTATCCAGCCTGGCTAGAAAGGGAAAGGCTGTAAGCTTTCGGGACTGCAAGATCTGGGCTGCTGAGAGAATGTGTGAGGGCAGAGGATGCATGTCCACCCCCACTTCTTTCTCTTGCTGTCAAGCAATGCTTTTTTTCAGACCTCTTTCTTCCCTGGGTGGCTGTTCTTTTCTTTGCTCTCACACCTACCCTGTGTCAGAGCAGGTTTTGGTGAGAAACTCCTGGGAGTAAGAGTCATCTACTTATTGTCCCAAACCCCTGTGCCAATCATTCATCTTTCTGTTTCATTCTGCACATATCTCCAACTGCCCTCCCATCCTCATCTTTATTATAGACTTGGGAAGGATCCAGCTAGGATTCTGTCTTCCCCGAGTTTCCATCTTGAGAGGCAAGGGAACTTTCCTAGTTCAGGACAGTCCCAGGACAATTAAAAAAATTATTTTGCTCTACTAATTCTTAAATATTTGATTCATGTTGGCTTTATATTATTATACGGAGAAAAGATTCACTGGGCAACACAGGGCTGGTGGTCTGTTTTCCTCCCTTGATTGCTGTGGGTCGTGGTTTCCTTAGGGAGGACCTGGCCCAGCTGCCCTTCCTGACCATGTGCATCAAGGAGAGTCTGCGCCTGCACCCCCCGGTCACTGGCATCTCCCGCTGCTGCACTCAGGACGTTGTGCTCCCGAATGGCCGGGTCATCCCCAAAGGTGCCCACAATGTCAGGGCTGGATCAGGGTCCCTCAGGCCAAGGGTCTCTGTCCTGACCGTCCCCTCCTCTCCGCAGGTGTTACCTGCCTCATCAGTATTTTCGGGCTGCATCACAACCCAGCTGTGTGGCCGGACCCTGAGGTGCTGCCTCCCCATCCTGGTCTGTTACAGGGGTCCCAGAGCAGGGGACTTGGTGTTGACCTGGGAAATCAGACCTCACCTGCCCCTGCCACAGGCACATGTGTCTCTCCCTGTGTGTGCTGGGCGACCCCACCCAGCAACCGTGGCTCCCTCTCTCCTCCAGGTCTATGATCCCTTCCGCTTTGACCCAGAGAACAGCAAGGACAGGTCACCTCTGGCTTTTATTCCCTTCTCTGCGGGGCCCAGGTGAGGGCAGCGGGTGTCTGAGCTGGGGAGGGGCTGACGGAGGCGGGGTCTGGGCGGGACAGCGGGGACATCCAGGTTGGCTTCTCGCTGCCCCTGCGCGGGTTATGCGCAAAGCTGTGAAGAATAGTGGTTGGGTAGGTGTAAGAGGGGTCCTCGGTGGGCTCAGACCCTGCTCCCTGCCTGATTCAGGCACTGGAGTCTCAGCCTGGTTCGGGGGACACACACGCCCAGTTGGGGCCGGGTGTACTTAGGGCCCCTCGCTGTCCCTGGAGCTGACCAGGGTGGGGTGGGGTCCCGGACAGGTTGGGATAGGGCGGGCTTGGGTGGTCCGGGCCGCAGTCACGGTCCCCTCCCCGCCCGCAGGAACTGCATCGGGCAGACCTTCGCCATGGCCGAGATGAAGGTGGCGCTGGCGCTGACTCTGCTGTGCTTCCGCGTCCTGCCCGACAACAAGGACACCGAGCCGCGCCGGAAGCCGGAGCTGATCCTCCGCGCAGAGGGCGGGCTCTGGTTGCGGGTGGAGCCGCTGAGCTGAGTGGGGGCGCTCAGGGAGCTCTGCGGCCTGGCCTGGGACCCGGCTGACCACCCCAGCGTCCTTTGCAGACTTAATAAACTGTGCAGTTACCTGTGTCTGAGTCTCAGCGAGCGCCAGCAGGGGGAGCTGGGGACCCATGCGTGGGCGTGAGTGGGAGGGGAGGAGGAGGGCTGAGGTCTCTGAGCCCAACATCCTGACTGCTTCTGGTTGAGCACAGGGACCCCATGGTGACGGTGGGAGCCATGGAAGGTGTTTGAGCAGAAAAGGGACCAGGATCATTAGCGAAGTAAGGGGACCCCTGCACATTGGCACCTTCCTGACCTCCAGTCTTAGCTGCTAATATACCCTGCCCGTTCTCACCTTAGGATTCTTCAGTGTTTCTATGGTTACTCAATTGTTTTTATAGGTAAAATAATTTTGTTTGCAATTTTTAAAACTAGTACATATTTGCAGTACATAATGCTTAAATTCATCGGAGCCAGTATTCACATGAATTTAACATAATTTCTTTTATTCCTCTCCTTCTCTCCCTTCCCCTCTCTCCAACTCTGGATCCCCTTCCCATTTGCAAAAGATCTTTCTCCTTGTGTTCTGTACCCTATCTTTTATTTTTTGATAATTATTTGTACTTTGGGTTTCACATTTAGGAGAAGTATACAATATTTAGGTTCATGTATCTGATTTATTCATATAACATTATGGTCTCAAGGTGCATGCATTTTCCTACAAATGACTCAGATTTATTTTTCTTTGTGGTAGAGTAGTACTTCATTGTGCACAAATTCCTCATTTTCTTTATCTGTTCATCCGTTAAACATATTGGCTGCTTTCAAGATTTAGCTATGATGAGTTTTGCTGGTATAAACACAGGTATGCATGCATCACTGTAGTTTCTTTAACTCTTCTGGGAAGATACCCAGAAGGGGAATACCTAGGTCAAATGAAATTTCTATTTTTCATTTTCTGGGGCATTTCCACACTGATTTTCTTTGTGGCTGTACTGGTTTATTTATTTATTTATTTTTTTGGTATCGAGGATCAAATTCAGGACCTTGTGCTTTTGAGGCAGGCGCCAGAACCACTGAGCTAAATCCCCGGCCCTGTACTGGTTTATATTCCCACCAACAAGGTAGAAGCATGCCTTTTACCCCACAACCAAGCCAGCATCTGTTATAGACTCTTTTTTTTGCTTCAAGTACAAAATATTTATTACACAAAAATGTAATAACTGATAAACTACCAATATTTTAAACTTAGAAAAAGTACTAAGTTATTTCATAACTCTTTTAAAAAAGGCATATTTTTATTATTCAAGATAACTTACTTCCAAGTTACAAAATTTTGGTTTAAAAAATGCTTCTCTATGACTGCCTTGATTTATTTTGCTATGCCATGCCAAAAAACAAAAGTATCTTTGAAATGCTTTGGGTGTTTAAATGGATGTTTGTAACATAAATTTATATAAATAACTTTTATATCACTAACAGGGCAATATATACCCTCCATAAACACCCTATAAGTAGAAACAGGAACCATTAATGATGCAGAATAAAACTTACAGTACCTCTCAATTTACATACAGCACAATAAGGAATCTGACTAGGCTAATGATATTTAAAGAATATGGTTAGTCACGCTCTCCTGGTATTACTGAATATGCTAGTTCTCTCACCAAATGAATAGTATTTCCATTATCTCATATTTTCCTCTATATTCCTTGTCTCCTGGTTGGAATAGCCCTGTGTGGGATATGTAGAAGTGGCCCAGAACCTATTAGTCCTATGCTTTTGGTTTGTTCTTCCCAACCTTTGGTAGATTTGTAAAGCCTAGAGGGATCTCTACTAACATTATTTTCAACCTTTTCCTTTAATTTTGCCAATCTTCTTCATTTTCTGCCTTTTCCTTTTCTTTTGCTTGCCTAGCTAGAATTTTCAATTCAAGTTTATATAAATCTCTTTCTTGAAACCTGGTAATTTCATTAGCAACAGTTTGCCTTTTCTGCCTTTTCTCTTATCGCTTTTTCAAGCCTCAAAAATTCTTCCTGTTCTTTCTTCTGCTGGGTGTAACTTTCTAACAGTAATTTTAGTTTAAGCTGGCATTGGCATTCTTTCTGTTGCTTTTTCTCTTCCTCTTCTTCTTCTTTTGACTTAGAAGCATATTTCATTGACAGTTCTATGCTTTTCTGTTTTTTCAAACCTTCAACTGCCAACTTCTGTTTCTTTCTTTCTTCCTCTTTTTGCTTCTGATTACCTTCTGGTTTATTATGAAAAAAGCACAGGAATATTGTCTGCCTTCTCTTTTAACTTGAAAATTTCCTGCTTCATTTGCTGCTTTTTAGTTTTCCAATTCTGAATAGACACTTTTTTTCTTTCTTCTAGAGTCAGAAATTTCTGATACCATTCTCATGCTGTTGAACTTCATCCTGTGTTCTTCCCGGGAGGAGTTCTAGAACTTCTTTCATAAATGCAGGCTTCCCTTTATGTGTATTTCTCACTTTTATAAAGTTCTGGTGGTCATAATTATCCTAGCCTCCCCGTCGTCCTCCTGTTTGCTGCAGGAATTTTTCAAAATCTACCACTGCTGCTGGAAGAGTATTTGGTGTCATTTTGTCTACAGAAACTTTACTTGAGATTGCTCTGAAAGCTTTCTGTGTTTCTGAATTACCCACAGCCCATGTGTCAATTTTTCTTGATATGGCACTCAATTCATTATTTGTTGTTTTTTCTTCTTTAATAAGCTCATCGTCTATCAGTCTTTGTAAGTGTTGATTGCATTTTCAATTTCTTCCATCATTTCTCTGAGCTTTTCAACAAAATCAGGTGTAGGCTTCACATCTTTTAACTGATGCTGAAGTTTCTTTACATTGTTATGTATTTTTGTTAACTGTTGCTGGATTTTTGCTCTTTCCATTTTCCTGCTGTTAATCAATTTATTTTCCAATTCTTCCAGCATACTGTGCTCAATTCTGAAGTCATTTTTTTTGGTTGTAGAAATGACTGTGTTTACCTTTCTCTATTATAATAAGTTGATTTTTAAATTTTTCTGCTGTGCATATGAATTCTGCTTTCTTTGTTAGACTAACTTTCTGCTTCCAGTTTTGAAGTTGAAAAGGATGAATTCCACCTGAAGTACTGACATAGCCATCATTCTGGTCCCCACCACCATGGCCGTCGTCAAGGCGGCCGTGTTTCCTCACCAAGTCGCTCAGGGGGCAGAGGCCAGGAGGGTCTGGGCGTTCGTGCCCAAGCAAATCCCCCGGGTCTCCGCAAACCGGTCCATGAGGTGCGGCCCGCTGTTACTGACTTAAAAAAAAAAAAGATAGCCAATGTTGGAGCAATTTTTGATGTATTTATTGGCCATTGATGTATTTACTGGGATCAGACTCAGGACCTTGTGCTTTCGAGGCAGACGCGGTGCCACTGAGCTAAATCTCTGGCCCTATATTTCTTCTAAGAAATGTCTGTTCAGTGGCCCAGTTTTTGATTTGGCCTTGTATTTTCGGGGGTCTGATATATTGGTGTTCTTTGTAAACTCTAGATATTAGTCCTCTGTCAGAAGAGTAATTGGCAAAATATTTTCCCATTCTGTAGGTTCTCTCTTCACTCTGTTGCTTGTTTACTTTAATTTGATATAATCCTATTCACTGATTCATGATAGTATTTCTTGTGTAATTAGGGTTCTATTTGGAAAGTTCTTGCCTACGCCTCTGTCTACCTACTTTGTCTTCCAGCAGATTAAGTATTTTTATCTTAACATTTAAATAGTTGGTCCATCTTGATTTTAGTTTAGTATATGGTGAAAGATATGAGTCTAGGTCAATTTTCTGCCAATGTGTAACCAGTTTCCCAGCACCACTTGTTAAAGATAATAATTTTTTTTCACTGAAAGTATTGCTTCATTAACTGCACTTGCCAACACACGAGGAAGGTACAGGGCTCCTTAGGACCTGGGCCGCGGTGAGGACCGGGTTCTGGAAGTCCCCATGAGTGAGCAGGATAAGATGGGGCTGGGAGCTCTGCAGCAACGCAACACAGAATCACGCAGGGCACAGAGGGCATTGGCCTGAGGCAACCAAACTTCGATTGCACATTAAGGTTTTGACCAGGGACAAAGTACAAAAAGGAGAAATAGGTCTTTGCCTTAATGAAAAATATATTTTTTCTCTACAAAGGAATCTTTTCTAATACAAGAAAATAAACATTGTAACATAAGCTGTTTTAGTCACTTTTCTTGTTGCTGAGACAAAATACCCAACATCCAAAGTTAAAGGAGGAAAGATTTATTTAGCTAACAGTTTGTAGAGGTTTCAGTCCATAATTGGCTGGCTCCAAGGCAGGGTGGCAGAGGGGCAACACAGAGAACGAGTTCATGGCAGGTAGAAGACAGCAAAGCCACAAAAAGGGGAACCACAACTCTTTCTGTCCCTGATATGTTATCCAGGATATCCACCCTTAGGGCAGGTAGCACTCACACGCTTAATCCTAGTGGCCTTGATCCTAACATTGCACCCCCAGTTAATCACATACTCTAGATCCGGCCACCTCTGAAAAAGCCTGACCTATGACTGCATAAGGCTGTGGAAGGACATCTAGACACAAGCTATCTCATTCCGCTTCTGGCCCCCCAAAGACTCTTGCATATCCGTTTATGCAAAAGGCGTTTAGTCCATCTCTAAGAGCTGCCAAAGTGCTAGCTAACATTTTCAGCACTGCTGAAAAGTGCAAGTCCAAAGTCTCTCTGAGATTTAAGGAAAACTCTTGCTGAAAGCCCTTGTACAAATGAAAAGAAAGTTAAACACTTCCAACATTCAATGGCATAATATAGACATTTACCTTCCAAAAGTTACAAAAAAGTGATAGCAAGGGAGGGAACAAAGCAAGACCAAAATCCAGGAGGACAAACATTAAATCCCACAATTCTCCTTCCAGCATCTCAGACAATCCAAAGGGCTTGGGTGGCTCCACCCCTACAGCACTGCCAGTGATTGTAGCTCCCATGGCTTCTCTCTGGGCCTGGCTCTGCTCTGCCCTTCCTTGCAGCTTTCCTCAGATGATCCACACTCCCGGCTTCTCTGAACTTCTGAGGTCTCCATCAC